AAGGCAAGCATGTCCCCGGAAGGAGAACATTAAAAGGGCCGTGACGGTCTCTGGAGGGAGTTGGCGAGGAAAGCTCGGAGGTCTGAGGACCAAAGTCCCAAATTCCTAGAGTAATGGTGCCCCGGAGGGATAGCAAATCCGCGGGAGAGCATGCTGTTTGAAATTAAAAAAAAAAGAGTTTTGATGGAAGTTCAAACTGTGAACATGATTCCCTCGTATGGTGAGATAATGCAAGCAAGAATAAATGACAGATTCGTGAGAGTGATAAGTAAACGAGGATAAAACTTAGAGGGCTGCGGGATGAGTTGGGCACGTAAACAATCAAGAAATCAATCAAACAATCATGCAAGCAAGAAATCAAACAATCATACAAGCAAGATATCGAACAAACATGAAATCATTCAACCAAGCAAGCAAACACGCAATCACACAAGCAAGAAATCAAACAAAGATGCACACATTCAATCATGCAAGCAAGAGAATCAAGCAAACATGCATGCACTAAAGGAAAAGAGGACCGGTTATCCCTCAATTTCCCATGTTGGTAAAGATTGCCTTAGTAGAAGAGCCATTCCTGTAAATATTATAGGGTTATACCGTTGCGTTTGACATGTTTGGGTTGACGGCGACTGCCTTGTGATACTCCAAGAAATTTACCGATCCCACCATGTCGTCCTAGTCAGGTGTCATGGAATTATTGGCTGAGCAATCTTTCTCGTCTGGGCGGGACTTTAATATGGTCTTCCAAGAATTTCTTTGTCATTTGGCATGGCAGGCCACATGGCAGATTTTTGCTCATTCGTCGCGTGGAACTGGTGCTTGTCTGGTCTATCACCATTACGAGGGATAGTCTGCCTTCCTACTCATAATGATACATCTTTTGGATACATGGCTGGAAGGCAAAATATTTTCTAAACTGGTCTTCAGATTCTTCTGTTTTTCTGAATGATCACGATGTTTTTGCGTGTCGCTTCAGTTTCTCGGCTGTCTATAAGACCTATTATGGGCTATCGACGTCATTCTTCATATTTCTCTGTGATTTTGCTTTCTGACTTTACCTTTCTACCTTCTTCTGAGCCCATATTTAGTTTTCCCACCTGATCTGCACCGTAATATCATCCTCATCACATAATTTGTCCTCTGAATCCGACTGCGGCTCCTTTACCTAGCCGAGGGGTAACCCGCAGAATTTTGCTCATACTCCTAAAAAGGTTGAGAAACTCATCAATTTCTTTCGGTATGTACGGCGGCTAGTCTAAAGAGGGTCACCTCTGCTGTGTATCTCCCTTGCCTCTCTCTTAATCCTCTCTTCCCTACCCAGGAAGACTGGGCTGACCGTTCGCCGCCCCACGTCATTAGGGGTTACCTCCTGATATGATCATTATTTATACCATATTAGCATATATTTTGCATTGTTTTATAGTCTCTAAACATGCATTTTTGCTTGTTCTTGTCTCATTTGCATTCAATTAGGACTTAGTGTAGATTTAGGACGTGCAATTCATGTTTTGTGCATTTGGAGAGTTTAGAAGGTATATTTGGAGAGTTTGGAGGCTACAAGGAGTATGAGATATAATGGTAGATGCAACACAATGCATGAAAAGAACTAATGGAGAAGGTATACCTTGCTGAAGCTGCCAGAAACTTTGTCTGAAAGAACGGCTCGGAAAAAGCATCTACATCCCGATTCAGCTTCGGAATTATTCATCAATGTTGTTGCTCTTTGAGTTATCTTGCGTCTGGAGTTGGTTTTAGGTCATTCCCATTAGCGGTTTGAAAGTTACAGAAGTTTTTGTGAAACCGCTCAACCCATGTCGACCAGCATGTCACCCGACATCAAGCAGCAGGAAACCAATGTCGAGCTTGGTGGAGTCTACATAGCACGACATCTTGCACCAGAGAAAGAAGGATTTCACATCAAGCATCAATGTCGAGCAAATCAGCTCGATATCAGTAGACAGGACACCGATGTCGTGCATCCATATCGCACAACATCTTTGGCCAGGAGCAACCAAGAAACACATCAAGCATCCACATCAACCTGATCACCTCGACATCCTCCTTTTCCCATTCCACTTACTTACAACTTTGCCGCTCCACTAAAGATCCTATAAATACTTAATATCCCTAATTTTTGGGATCATCTCTTTACCCAACAGTTCTTCTTTTCTTCTCTAGACTTTGAATAATTTTGTATTTGAATCTTTGTTTATTTCAATAATAGTTTGCATTCCCCTTAAATCTTTTGTCTTCCTAATCATGTCATACCATACATTCTCTTTGAAATTTTATGGTTTATTAGTGAGTAGTTTGTTTTAAGTTTGATATTGGGGCATATGGGGTGAGTTTATTGATTGTTTAGGGTGATTAGGGCTTAGATCTTCTCATTCCCTTTCTTATATGATTATGTTTAATTCTTAGTACCTGTTTGTTGGAGAAGTTGATCTTATGTTTTCACGTGCACACGAAGTGTTTAATGAAATGCATGAATGAAGTTCAATGCTTGAACATGGTGCTTAGATAATCATGAGTCTTTGCATCTATCATTTTTTGCTTGAATGTGCTTATAGCTTAGTACCACATTGATGGAGAAATTGTCTTTAAACATTGATTATGCATGAGAATGTTAGTTGATGTTTGATCATTTGTACAAGAGATTAGTAAACTTAGCCTAAGAGATTATATGTCTAGCATGCTAATTGGTTTTATGGAACTTGCTTTTAATGCTTGTTTGTCATAGATACACCACTAACCATGAGTTTAAAATGTGATAAGTCAAAAGAATTAGTGCCAAGAGATTGGATTAGATTTTATTAGTGTTCCTTACCTAAGGTTGAGTGTTTAGAATTGCTTGTTTTGATCACCCTAGACATGAAATGAATCATCCTATCACCATTGCCTTTATCTTAAACCAAATTTTAATCATTGAAGTTTAACTTTTACTTTGTTTCTCTTTGCCATTATTTCTCGTTTTTTTGCTTTCTTTTGCTTTCTTATTTATCATTAGGTTGTTAGACATCAAAACATTCCCCTATTAGCTTAGCTTAGCAAAATTCTCTACGTCTCAATTATCATTATCTTCCTAAGTGGATTGACACCTTAAGTACTACAATGATATGTGTGTTTGAGGATTGATCAAAGGATTAAAAACCTTAGCATCACCTCCCTCGTGTGCTCGTTGATTTATATCGGTGTTCCGGTACTATTCTTAACCAATTGCATCCGTTTGCATGAGGGCTCCTTAGCACGTACCAGGTCCTTTCAGATTTGTCAGGGATCCTAGTGGGGGTCTGTGGTACTATTGTCATATTGATTGCAGTGTATTTCTGCCGATTACCAACACTACACTCTGCACACTCGAAAAGACTGTCCCATTCTGCTCTTCGGGGATCGATCAGAGAGTCAGAACTGGAGGGAGCACTATCTGCGCGTCGACGTCCCTCTGTCCTGGCACGTTTATAGTAAGTATTGCTCGTAAGTCGATTTGCCTTGCCCCTTTTGGATTTTTCTTGTTTATAAGCCTTGATTGTTCTGGTGCTGTTATTAGGGCCTCATGATCCAGCGATCAGTCGACTTTGGGACTTTTGTCTGTGCTGGACTAGAGGTTTAGGATCTCTGGCTTCCTATTGTCGGTCGGTCTGCATCGGTGAGAGTTAGCTAGTGCTCCCTCGAGTGCCTAGCTACGTGTATTGGGTATGTTTTTTTTTTGTTTTTTTTACGGCTCATTTGCGACTCACACTTTTTCACGTTCTGATCGGCGGTGATATAGCAGGTTCGGCATCTCGACTGGAGTCCTTATTTGGGGTTAAGCCCTAGGCGGACTGCGGTCGAATGTCCGAATTATTTGGTCTGGGGGAGGTCACCTGTCCAGCAACCCCTTCCGAGGTGATGCATGTCGTCGTTCACCGGCCCTTCGTCGCAGACTAATTCGTCTTCCGGCCGTTCCACTTACCCTTCGCCTTATCCGCGGACTCGGAGTTGGAGAGGTGACGCCAGAGACAGTGCATACTCTACCGTGGGATACCCTTCGGCTAGTCGGCCCCGCCTCCTTTAGGTGGCGGTAAACCGCTGCGGAGTTTCATGATTTTTTGGAAGAGGTATGCTTAACCCGTCTTATGCAGTCTGGCTTTCTTTGAGATGACGAGGCCTTAACCTTTCTTGTTTTGTGCAGGCCTCCGGACATTGTCGCTACTAGAGAACGAGCTACTTACATTCGAATGCCGCAAACACGACTTGTCTGATTGGGATAGTAAAATGCAGGCCAAGCTGATGTTGGTCAAAGACTTGCTTGCTGAATCACAGTCCTTTGTCCAAGGGGAAGAGCTAGGGTAAAAGGTGCCCGTCTCGGGGCGTAACTGGATGACCACCGTCTTGACCTGTCTAATCGTAACTACGAGATCTGTCTTCTCCTTGATACGATCACAGTACTGTAAGTCTTCGGTCCGACTACTAAAGCCAATCCCACACTGATAGTTATCCACGTGCAGATGACAAATCAGACCGAATTGGCCAGGATTTGATGGAAATTAGACGAAGAGCATCATCAAGAAGACTTAGGTGGGACCAGGAATCTCCATACGCCACGTCGCCACATGACCTCAATGGTGATCTCTCGAGTTCTGCGACTTGTTCGCCTTTATGTGTTATCTTTTTAGTTGTTCAGTCTTTATCAATAATATACTGTAAAGGTGGGCATAACAGAATACATTGATCATTACTAATACATAAATAAAAATATCAATTATTAATGATTGATTTTCTTTTAGAATTTCACTTGATTAAGAGGTATCAACCGAATAAACTTCTTTCGTTAGAAGAAAATTAAGATTTAGACGAAAATCAAAATAAATAAAAAGATAAAATTAATAAGAATGATGAATGTTGGAGCATACTATAAAAAAACAATTCTGAAAACCTAAGCCATCATTCATGTTGTTGTATCTACCAAGCTCATAGGTAGTTTACCCCTTTTCATTTCAGCCTCTTGATTATTATTTGATGATTTTTCAATTTTACATATATAGAAATTTGCACCGGGTGATGTATATAATTTTGTTGTTGAACAATCGTTTTCACATTTTAGCCACAAAAAGAAAAATCAAAACACAGTTACAAATAGACAACACTTTTTGGTTACTGCACAAGCTCAATTACTTAAATCTTTCCACGTGAAAACAAAAAGTAAACTTCGTCAAACAGTACTAACTTATCCTGAGAGAAAGCAAAAGATGAAGAAGAGGTCGTACAAATTCTGAAATAATAGTCTGTTAAACACAAATAAAGATCTAAAATCTTATTAATGGTTTACGTTGTGAGTTGTTAATGATGATTATTCATCGCCCCGTACGTACACCACACATCGTTCTTCCTTCACCATACATGATATTTTAATCATCAATCACTGGATCGATTTCTCTTGCACCAGACGAGAATGAGTGTTGCTCCCCATACATCCTCCACCAGCATAGCACGGTGCAGCCACATTGGATAAATACTTCCTCGGCAATGCGATTCCGAATCTCTTTCCTTTTCTTACCCTTTTCTCTTTTTTGACGATGCTTTCATCCTATATACATTGTGTTATAATTAATCAAATACAAACATATATAGTTACTTGAGAACCTTATAGAGTATATACATCGCAAGTATCTCCATTGGTTTCTCATTAATTAATAAAAGGAAGAGATAAGAAGAGAATCGTCTCTTAGATACTTTGACAAACTTATGAGAAACTTCTAGTACACTTATCATTATATGAATTATCGATGTCAAACTCATGAGAAACTTCTAATACACTTGTCATTTTATGAATGATCAACGTTGTTTAAATATTAAAATATGTTATTAATATGTTTTTCTAATGATAATGATGCTTTTATAGATCAAATGAGTTACTTAAATTGTTCTAAAGAGACATTCTCACCTCTTTTGTGTCGTCTATGATGACGCTTTCGGTTTCCACCGACTTTCTTGTGTCTTCTCCATCTTTTTCTGCAAAGGAAAATGGATTAATTGTTTTAATAAACCCAAATGTGTCCAAACTGTCTATCATAACTATGCATCAAAAATAGTTTTGATAGAAATTAGCACACCAAAAAGAAATTTATTTGTAACAGTGTGACGAGTATGAATTTGCATGCATCCATAATTAATCATTATATATAGAGAGAAAATTTTCATTCTTCTTTATAATTTTATTTGGTGTATATACTTATATATATATATATATGTGTAAACTAGTATTAAGAACGTAAGATTTACCTTCTTCTTCATCAACAGCAGAAGCAACATCAATGCAATAAACCCTAAAGCTTGGAGATCCAGGGCATATCATCCTCTCATCTAAGTTGCTCAGCCTCCCTTCATCATGATCTACCCCATCATCTTCTTCCTTTTTAACATTGATAACCTCATCATGATCAACAACATCATCTCCTTCCTTCTTAACATCAATGGACTCATCAACACGATCATGATGCTTTTCCTCCTCTTGTTTCTTCACAACAGTTTCCTCCTCCTGTTTCTTCACAACAGCTTCCTCCTCCTGTTTCTTCACAACAGCTTCCTCCTCCTGTTTCTTCACAACAGCTTCCTCCTCCTGTTTCTTCCCAACAGCTTCCTCCTTTGCCACCTCTTTAAAATCATTTTGCGACGAAATCTTCTCATAAATAACCTCTTTCTTCTCTTCCACGTGATGATTAGGAGCCGGAGCCACCTTAGCCGATAACTTCAAGCTGTCGTCGATCTCCTCCGTCTCTTCTCCGTCCTCGGAGGAGCCGTGCCGGAGAAGCTCCTTCTTCGACAGCGTTTGGTTCCCTTTCAAAACGCCTGCATGGCTCCGTTTCTTCATCTCCTCTAGTCTCCGCCGGAGAAGCGGGCGTATTCCGGCTGGAAGTGGCACAACTCCACCCTCATCCGCTCTCGCCGCCGCCACACCTCCTAGCCTTGAGCCACCGCAACCCATATTAATAAAACTAACAAAAAGATGGTGTAATCGCCGCCACCAAAAAGATCATACGGCGGCGAGTGGTGGCGGGAAAATATTTTTTGAGCAAAAATAGGGAAAGAAGAGGAGAGAAGAGAGCCAATTAATTGGGAGAATGATGAATGGAAGATAATATTTAGGAATCGGAGAAGAAGAAGGGACAGAATGTGAGATTATTTAAGGGTTGAGATTGTGTGATGGGGTTGATTGGTTAGTTGCAATTTATTTGCTAAATTTAGTAATTAGTGATTTATTTAGGCAAATGCATGAGTTGGTTTCTTACCTATTACCTAAGTGACAGATTCATTCTTGTTGTCATTTTGACTTACTGTTAAGTCTTTCCTGAATTTGCAGATAACTTTGATGACTAAATTACTATATTGGATAGCGCTTTAACGTACATATCTTGATCTTTTGTTTCAGAAAAATCTTCTTTGTATTTACTATGAAGCTTGTATGTAGAAGTACTCTAATATTTTATGAATATATAACACTAAATAAAATAATCTCGTAAAATAAACATGAATTTTCTTTTACTTTTGGTTAAATTAACCAGCCGGTCAAGGGTTCTATTGATGCACATACAAGAATTTGAACCACCTACACTACTTTTTTGTTTTTTTTGAACTTTTAAACCTACACTACTTACAAAAAGAATATGAAAACAAGAAGCTAAATTGAATTCAAAGAAAACCAACAAAGAAGGCTAGTTGAAATGATTCTAGTTACATTTGTTATATCCATAAACTTATTTTGATTTTATCAATATCTCGAACTGGGATATTGTAGAAAATAATAAAACAAGGACAATATAATTTAAACCAAAAAGATATAATGATTTCTGCCATCCATATGTATTATTTATATATTTATAAAAGCACATACATGATTTGTCAATAAGCCCATGAGCTAACTATGTATAGATTTTAGAATAAATTACGTAGAAGAGAAAGGTTATGTAATATATCCTAAAATGTCTAAAATCTCTACATCAAATAAAGTCAATAAGCCGCATGAGCCAACCATGTGTATATTTTAGGGGATCCTTATTTTAGGAATCCCGAATTCAAAATAAAATAATGATGAAGGATAATAGATAACTGGATATATGATCGAAGAAGAATAAACAAGAAAAGAGAGTGAAAGCAACTTGTTCCCTCTCCTACATTCCAAAGTGCTCGGAAGACAATAAGACAAATCAAAGCATCCTCATTTTCATTTAGATGTTCCCTAATATTCTACCAATACTAAGTTACTAACTAAACACAAATGATTCGCCACTTATAAACCATTTGCGCATATAATATAAATATATATAATCAACCTCGATCGGTTTGTCACCGGCTTTGAACAACTTCTTCACCATCTGACTCGTCCGACGCCTGTTCATCCTCCTCGACCTCCGCATCATTCTCTTCCTTTACGACCACCTTCACCGCCCTCCATTTCCCTACCTCACCCTTAATCCCCAAAACATTAATCAAAACTATCAAAACGTTGCTCGAAACTATTATAATATGTCATAGAAATAAAATGAAGTCCAGTGTGTCCGAACTAACAAACGAGTGGCTCACCCGAGGCAGAGGGGACAATGACCACCTTGTAGCTCTAGAGGAAATAAGACGGAACTCGTACATGATCCATGGAGTTATTGTTCCTCGAGGTCTTTTTCCAATATAGAAAGCAAATGTCTTTCTCCTTCCTTCTAAATGATTACAACCACGATCACCAGATTCCATAACTTCCTCTTCTTCACACTCTTCCCAATAGCCCGACAACGTCTCTCTTCCCTTTCTCTCTCGCTCTTCCTTCTTCACAAAGTAATACACTTCCTTGTTCTTCTCTCCTATGACAATGTGTACGCACAAACACTATTAGACCACACTCATCAATAGTTTTGATGTGATATGGTATATAGACTATATAGTAATTAGAGGTATCAGTTTGGAGCACACCTAGTAAGTCCCAAGGATCAACATTGCAAGAACGGAGCTCAGGGAGGTCGAAGTCCATCGGGCGGTGGAGTACCTTCTTGGCGAGATACTCGAACACAAGATCTTCATCATCCGGATCAAACCTGAACCCAGGAGGGAGTCTCATACTTCTTCCGTTCATGGCAAATCTCTGCGTAGAAATGTCCATCAGGTACTTCTTTATCGATATATGATTTGTGCTTTGGTTTAGGTTGTTTATATACTTATATGAGTGTCACCTTTAGTTTGGCAAAAGCGGATTCTACTTTTCCTTTAAATACTTTTCAAGTAATATTAATTTCAATAGATAATTTGATTACTTAACTGCCAATTCAGAGTTGGAGTTTGATAGGTTTAATTTTTTTATAAATAAAATACGAGGATCGCCAATAAATTGTTGTGCATGTACCCATGCAGTCAACGTTATTAAGATGTCGATAAACCTTTTCTTTCTCTGTAAAAAAAGTAATTTGGTCTTTCTTTTTCTTTAGTCAAGGTAATAGATTTTTTATCCCAAAAATATAATAATAAAGTTATATGATCTACTGAGCTATACAATACACGGTCTTACTTCTTTCTTTTTTTTTTTTTTTTTTTTTTAACTTTTACACGGTCTTGCTTCTTAATCTTACCGTAGTACTATCACAATAAAGTAGCACGATCACATCACCTAAATAAACGAAAAATGTATGACCATATTTTATTTTATACCATTTTCGATTAAATGTATAGTACATTTTTTTTGGTCGAAAATGTATGATTAATTTAAGCGAGAAGTTTTGAACATTCAATCTATATTTAAAAAAAAAAATCAAATATCAGAAAATTGAAACGTAGATGTTTTGGATCAAGTATATATATCGATCATAAGTGTACGAAAAAAATGTTTAACAAAAACAATAAGTGTAAGAAATCATGTATCAGTTTTACTAATGCATGTCTTACAAATCAATGTACAAGAAAGAAAATTGTAACCGAATTTTTCTTCACGTGCAACCTAAAGTTTTATAGATCAAAATTCCTTTTTTTGTTGTATAGATACGTGGAAAAGGAAAACAAATATGGCTAGGAGTAGTCACACAAATGTAAGAGCGTATATATATAAATATATATATATATAAATATATTTATATGTATCATCATGGAATCAGCTATTTCTTTGTCTATAAAGTTTCGCATGTGAAGCAATATCGTCGGGATAACTTAAATAATCTGAGTAAAACTTGCATAAGTGATGATTAAGAAATAAGAAAAATTAAAAAAGTATACTCCAGAAAACAAAAGTGAAATTGAAAGAGGGTCCAAGTTGATCCCAACTTAAAATTTTTGAGGGGCTGACTTAACGAGTAAGTTATGAGATGTTGGACTGACTCAATTTTCTACTCACTTATTTATTTTCACTTATTTTTATTAAATTATTGTAAGATGATTGTCTTTGGAGTGGTGGTTTTGCCTTTTATTCATCTTTTTCCCCTTAGAACACAATAAAGATCACAAAGTCCGCCAAACCAAAGTTGTTCAATTTTTTTGCCTTCAACTTTCCAGCATCAGACTTTGAATTTTACAAATAGCATTCAGGTTTACTCCTTTTCTTAATGTAATCTTTTATACACTAGAAATAAAGTTACACTATATTTTTTGTTATTAAGAATAGAAAAGAAAATGAATAAAGATGATTGTTTAAACGCTAAGGAAATGCTGTTATTTTAATCGGCTGGATGAGACTTCTTCAGTTGAATCTGAATTAGATATTTTTAATTTAAGTCTAATGAGTGATTGTGGTATTATCATCAGGATTTAAATACGAAAGTATGTGTGTGCGAGTTGAATATGAAAAAGAAAACTAGAAAATTGTAGATTGTACTTTAAAATATATATATATATATATATATTTTTTTTTTTTAGTGTACATTTTAATTTTTGAAATATTTATGTCATTCCCTAAAAGAAAATGGAAGGCAAATTTTTATGTTTTTTCTATATTTTAATAAAAGAAATAGAGAATATTAAAGTTTTTCATATTAGAATCAGACGTTGTACTCCCCCACGCAGCAATTTGGATTTGGTACTTTTCTTCACCTCGAAGATGTTGCTTTTATGCTGGTGTTGGATTTGTCATAAATTTGACCCATCTAAAATATATTAAATAATGAGATTAAGCATTTTAAATTTTAAAGCCTACATTATCAATTGACGAGCTGCTAGCGTATCATAGCTTCATTCTCTCTTAGCTCGGTCATAAACTTACGAGCTTGGTAAAAAATCAGTCAACAAGAGTATTCGATTTCATCTACGGGACAGCTTGATCCAAGACATATGGAGATCGTTGAGTCAAGATACATTGAAATATTTGAGAGATTGAACTAAAGAATGAGATATAAAAGAAGATGGGGATTCAGAAGAAAGGCCCTTTCATTCATATACTTGTTACATTATAAACACACTTTCATTGTAATCTAAGAACACATAGTTCACAATTTTACATCTCATTCGAGATTTCTTATATTTGTTCACTAGATTAATACAAAATATAGCTTGTTCTCGATCTTACATTTTAGCATTATAGTCTCACAAACACACTTAGATTGTATAAAGAATCACTCTCTTTATTAATGTTCAGAAACTCTCTCAAAACTAAACATTCACAAACTCTTTTGTTGTTCGATATGATTTGTTACAACTCAACAAATCATATTTATAGCTCAACATAGCTATTCTTAATCCTATCTAACTTAGAACTAGATAACTCCTAACTCTAATAGGATTGCTTGAAGCCTTTCTTATCCTAACCCGACTTGGTTAAGGATGTCGTAGGTTTCAGTCTTCGAAGCTTTACCCAACAATCACCCCCTGAAGCTTCGAGTCCTTCTTCGAGAGGTCTTGAACACCGTTCAAACTCCTCATCGTTCTGAACTTGATTCTTGCTAAGGCTTTTGTTAGGATGTTTGCACACTGTTCTTCTCCGGGTACAAACTCCACTGCGATTTGTTCATTATCAACACATTCTCGTATGAAATGATATCGTTTGTGGATATGTTTGCTTCTTCCGTGAAAGACAGGGTTTCTGGTTAGTTCTATGGCTGACTTATTGTCAATGCGGATGGTTGTCTTCTCACAATCTTGTCCCGTTACTTCACTCACTAAGTCCGGTAACCATATAGCTTGCTTCGCAGCTTCCGTGGCCGCCATGAACTCGGCTTCACAGCTAGATAAAGCGACGGTCTGCTGCTTTTGCGAACACCACGTGATTGGTGTTTCTCCAAAGTAGAACACATGACCAGCTGTGCTCTTTCCATCGTTCGGATCTGTGTTATGGCTGCTGTCGCTGTAGCCAACGATCGTCCGCGAGCATCCTCGTTTAAACACCAGACCGTACGATAAAGTTCCTTGCAAATATCTCAAAATTTGTTTCAATGCAACGCCATGAGACTCTCTTGGATCTTGCATATACCTACTCACCACTCCTACAGAGAAAGCGAGGTCAGGTCTTGTATACAACAAGTACCTTAAGCATTCGATTCTTCGACGATACATGGTGGTGTCAACTTCGGCTTCTTCCTCTTGTGCTTTAGATAATTTTAACCCAAACTCCATCAGGATGTGTGAGGGATTACAATTATCTAGTCCTGCTTCCATTAGTATCTTCCATGCATATGCTTCTTGTTTCAGTTCGATGCCATCTTTCCCTTGAAAAACTTCTATACCAAGGTAGTAAGTGAGTTTACCGAGGTCTGACATCTCAAACTTAGTTGCCATGTCGTTCTTGAATTCCTGTATGACTCCCAGCGAGTTTCCGGTGACAAAAAGATCATCGACATACACTGCTACAAGGAGAAATTTTGTTCTATCTTCCTTGCGGTATACTGCACTCTCTTTCGAACACTTCTTGAAGTTCAAACCTCTCAAGATTTGATCAAGTTTTGTGTTCCACGCTCGTGGTGCCTGTCTCAAACCGTATAAGGCCTTGGAAAGTTTGAAAACCTTGTGTTCCTCTCCTTTCTTTTCAAAGCCTTCTGGTTGAGACACATAGACGTCTTCGTTTAGCTCTCCGTGCAGGAACGCCGTCTTGACGTCGAGATGGTGGATTTCCCAGTTGTGTGATGCAGCAAGTCCCACAAGCAATCTTATTGTCTCAATGCGAGCTACATGTGCAAAGACTTCATCGAAGTCAATTCCTGATTGTTGTACATATCTTTTGCAACTAACCTCGCTTTGTATTTGTTAATGGACCCATCTGCGTTTCGCTTTATCTTAAAAATCCACTTAAGACCAATAACCTTGACTCCTCTTGGCTTTTCCAATACAAACCACGTTTTGTTCTTGTTTATCGAGCTTATTTCTTCTTCACAAGCGTGTATCCACTCGATTAACTCTTTTGCTTCTTGATAATTCATCGGCTCATCATTAATCGACAACAGGAGTTTCTCACACTCTATCACTGCTTGTAGGGCATAGTCATCCTTTAAATAATAGTCTTCAAGGTAACTTGGCAGGTTTGTTTCTCGCGTAGACCGCCTCAAAGCCTGTTGAGGTTCGTGAACATGCTTTGGCGACGGAGGTGGTGGAGTTTGGTGGTTTTTCGGGCTTTGGGGTTCTTTCTCGCCCGATCTTGGTTCAATATCGGGAAGATCCTTGACAACGATAGCTGGTCCTTCTCCCTCATCTATTGTTGTTCCCCATTGCATATGAAACATTCCAGGATTCCTACTTGATTCGTTCTCTGTTTCATTCCAACTCCAGCCTTTTGTTTCATCAAAAACAACGTCACGGCTAACTACTATCCTTCGAGTTAGTGGATCGTATAGTCGATACGCCTTGGATCCTGGCTCGATCCCAAGGTGTAATAAAACCTTCGATCTATCGTCAAGTTTCTTTAGGTGCGCAGCGTGTACCTTTGAATATGCCAAACAGCTGAATACCTTCAAGTGCTCAATGTTTGGTTTCTTCTCTCGCAGGCATTCATAAGGAGTCATATTCTCTAGCGCTCTTGTTGGTACCCTATTAATCACATGAGTGGCGTGCCTAACAGCCTCTCCCCAGAAGTAATTTGGAACTTTCATAGCCTTGAGAATGCTCCTAGCCATCTCCATTAGAGTTCTGTTTCTTCTCTCCACAACACCATTCTGCTGAGGTGTGTAAGGAGCTGTGAGGTGTCTCTTGATAACGTTGGTATTACAGAACTCGTTGAATTCT